ATGACCACTTTGAAACACAGTTATGTGAAAAGAAAAAATTTTAAAGATTTGACCGATGATAACTACTGATAATGGAATTATAAAAATCGTCCTGTATTAAAAAAACGTTAATCAAATTGTTTTCGTATGTTATCAGAGATGTTCAGTGCATATCCTGCGACAAGGATGTGGTCATGAGGATGGATGCTACCCATAAATTCAAAGCGGAGACACTGCCATGCACTACGAGCATGAAGCCGTACCTGACCTACGAATTGGATCAGGTTAGAAAGCAACACAGAAGATTACCTCACAGCAGAAATATGATTCAATTCGAGGCAGCCATGCAGGAGGAGGCAAAGAAGCAAAAGAGCGCGAGAGACACACTTGTAAAGACTCCTAGGTACATATGGGAAGGGTATTACTTTAAACTTATTATGGCTTCAGTTCTTTTTTTCTAATTTCGAAATTTTTTCTTTCGAAAAAAGATTCAAAATAAAACATTAACCTTGGTTTTTTAAGCAAATTTGAAAAAAATTATACTTTTAAACTTCACCACTATTAAACGGATTAAGTTTTCCTCAATTTTTAATCGAGATATTCCTAATCGAAAACTTCAATAAATTATTTGACATTGAATTGACTTCAGTTAGATCGACACTTGTAAGGAATTCATTTTTTAATAAAAAATAATACGAAGGGCGAAAAGTCCATGAATCAAATGAACGAATATCCCGTTATTAATTTATTTTATACCAAACTGTGAAATTTTCAATTTCATTTTGAAAAACGAACGAACTTCATTTGAAATATGTGTGTGTTTAAATGTTAGAGATCATCTGTGCAATCGATACTGCGGCGGAAGTCACACGGTCACGACTCCTCAGCAAAGAGTAATGCGAATGGGCCATTTCCTCACTCAGTGGGGACCGGAAATAATTCAGTTAACGGAAGGGATGATAAAGGGAACGGACGGTAGGATGTACAAAAGTCGGCGAATACCAAATAAAGTCGATGTCTGCGGGCCTGCATACTGCAATGAACGCGGAGACGAGCCTCGATCATTGGTAATTATTCTCCCCGTGTATTTCTCAACTTCGTAACTAACACAGGTAATTGCATTTCAGGATAGACAATCGATGCAGTCTACTGTGTCGCGAAAGCCTGATAAGCAATCTTCCACTAATACAAGTAACGTTGAACACGAATAAAAATTTCCTCTTAGCTTATGCTTGATAGTAAGAAAATAATATTTCTTACTACTGTTAGATGTCAACGCGAAGGATTTACATTGTTGGACAATTTTTTTGTAATTTTCATAAAATTGAAAATGAAATTGTTTTACTTTGGATGTTTTAAAGGAAACAATATAATATAATTTTATATATAAAAATGCAATTTTAACAGGAAAACGATCGTCGAGGAGACAGCCTCGAGACATAACCAAGGAAGCGATAGAAGAGGTAAATAAATCTGGTAAAGAAGTCTGAACGTAAAGCTTGAAATAATGTTCAAACGCGTTATACTTACAGCTTGCGGGAACACCAAGAACGGAAATAGACGATCAAGAATTTCTCGATACAGATGAACATGATCGTATTGTGCAGTTCATCGAAGAAGAAGAAATGGGAGAACAAGATTAAATGAAACTTTCGTTAAACATTGTTCTAAATATTACAATGTCGAAGTCATTGCTCTAAAATCTAAATAATATAATGCACCATGACTCAGAGGTTTTTATCAGCTTTCAGAATCAACGAAATGTTTATTGCAGTAAAATTATTTTAAAATAATTATTTGTTTAAAATCCACTGTATGAAAATTCCGTAAAATGCATCATTGAAATATTTAAACAGCCACGATTCATTGTATCAAAAAGTCTCAATATTAACTGAAATTTTGAAATGATCTGGAATGTATCTCATGTTCCAGATCTAATGTCTTTTATTATTCCGATTTTCGTTACTAATATTTTCATTCCACATCGTTAATCCTCATTCTTGAAGGATAATTAAAGACGGGCAGAACAAACGAGATACGAAGAACGCTATTTTATTAAATGTTTTATTATTAAGAGGGAGTTTCGGAGTACACAAGACTATCTAGTGAAGTCGATTTTGGAACATCGGTGGTCTGTCATGCTAAAACAAAAATATCGAATCACACCATTCACTAGAATCGCTTTCTTTCGCTTATTGCACGTCACACCGTTCGAATACCGTTTACAACATAATGAATGAGTGTACACAGCGCTCGAATCTTACGTCGAATATTTCCTTGTTTTTCCCGTTCCTCTTTCGATTGCTTTCGATTTGACGTTCGATCGCACCTCCTACAAAACGGACTACGCGCTAGTGTTTCCTGGTAATAATAATAATGGAATATCCACGTATACGTATAATGATGTATACGCCGGAGCTAAATGCTACTTCATATAAATTTCAAGGTACAGGAAGTATCTACAAGTTAGTATCTACCACATAATTTACGACTGTCTTGTTCTTACATCACGTTCTTTTTTTTTTTTGT